TCTTGGTGATCCCTCCTTTCCTTTGGCACGGATCACACTTGGCAATGTAGTCTGCTGCATCCTTAAACAAAGTAGGCCACCATAAACCCGATTGCAAAACCTTAGTTGCTGTTTTGAATGTAGCAAAGTGACCTCCGTAAGCTGACCCATGGCAATGCTCTAGAACTCCTTGTACATCCTCTTCAGCTATGCACCTTCTGTAAATGCTGTCTGGTCCTCTCTTGTACAAGTAAGGCTCATCCCAATAGTAATGCCTAGCATCCTTGAAGAACTTCTTCCTCTTGTAAGCATCAAAACTACTAGGGACTTCTCCGGACACCATGAAGTTCACTATATCAGCATACCATGGCAAATTCTCATCACGCAGAGCCTTAACTTCTTCCAGCCTGACTTTCTCATCAAAACTCTCCTTCAAGATCATGATTGCCATAAGCTGTTCTTCAGGCATAGAATCATTGATGGGGATCATGTCTTCAACTCGCATCCTAGAGAGATGATCAGCAACTCCATTCTCTACTCCCTTTTTGTCCACAACTTCTATGTCAAACTCTTGAAGCAAAAGGATCCATCTGAGAAGTCTTGGCTTTGTATCTTTCTTAGCAAAGATGTGCCTAAGGGCAGCATGGTCAGTGTGCACAATCACCTTGGACCAACTATATAGCTTCGAAATTTCTCAAAGGCAAAGACGATGGCAAGGAGCTCCTTCTCTGTGGTTGCATACTTGCATTGAGCATCATCCATAGTCTTGCTTGCATAGTAGATGACATTGAGTTTCTTGTCTATCTTTTGGCCAAGCACTGCTCCTACTGCATAGTCAGATGCATCACACATAATCTCAAATGGGTGATCCCAGTTTGGAGCTTGAACTATTGGCGCAGATACCAGAGCATCCTTCAGCAAGGTCCAAGACTTGTGGCATTCTTCATCAAACTCAAAATCTGTCTCCTTGCACAGAAGCCTTGTCAAGGGTCTTGCTATCTTTGAGAAATCCTTGATGAATCTTCTGTAGAACCCTGCATGACCCAGAAAACTCCTTATGTCCTTCACAGTCTTGGGAACAGGGAGCTGCAACATGACATCCACCTTAGCTCGATCGAGCTCGATCCCTTTCTCGGAAATCTTGTGTCCAAGCACAATCCCTTCTCGAACCATGAAGTGGCACTTCTCCCAGTTGAGTACTAGATTGGTCTCCTCACACCTCTGCAACACCCTGCACAAGTTAGACAAACATGAGGAGAAGGATGCTCCATAGACTGAGAAATCGTCCATGAAGACTTCTACCATCTCCTCTATCAGATCTGAAAAAATGGAGGTCATGCACCTCTGGAAAGTAGCTGGAGCATTGCACAGCCCAAATGGCATCCTTCGATAAGCAAAGGTGCCATAAGGGCATGTGAAAGTGGTCTTCTCCTGATCATTAGGGTGGATCGGGATTTGGAAGAAACCACTGTAGCCATCAAGAAAACAATAAAAGGGTGGTTTGCCAATCTTTCTAACATCTGATCAATGAAAGGGAGAGGGAAATGATCCTTTCTAGATGCTGAATTTAGCTTCCTATAGTCAATACACATGCGATGCCCCACTATTGTTCTAGTGGGAATCAGCTCCTCTTTGTCGTTTTTAATGACAGTGATCCCCCCTTTCTTTGGGACGCAATGAACTGGAGATATCCAAGTGCTATCACTGATGGGATAGATTATCCCAGCATCAAGCAACTTGAGTATCTCTTTCTTCACTACTTCCTTTAGATTGGGGTTCAACCTTCTCTGAGGTTCAATGCTTGACTTACTTTCATCCTCTAGATGAATCCTATGGATGCATAGGTCAGGGGAGATCCCCTTGATATCATCTAGAGTGTAACCTATTGCCTTTCTGTACTTTCTCAATTCAACAAGCAAAGCACTCAACTGTTCAGGTTCCAAATCAGAGTTCACAATGACAGGGTAAGTTGAGTTTTCACCCAGAAATGCATACCTGAGGCCCTCAGGCAAAGGTTTGAGGTCGACTTTAGGCGCCTTGAGCTCAGACCAATCTCCTTGAGCTTGCTCCTTGCTTCAGCCCCAGCTCGATCGAGTTCGTTTGTTCGAAACTCGACTCGATCGAGTTCTTGATCGAGCTCACTGCCATGACCTCGCAAACTGGCCTGTCCAATCCTCAATGCTCAGAATGTTTGGAACTGGTCTGAAGGTGTCAAGGAGCTTCTTGTACTCATCAGTTTCTGAGCTCACATATCCCTCTGAAGAATCCTTGGTCAAAGCAACTTGTAGGGATCCTCTGTTGATAACTCTTCTAAAGCTCATCTGCCAACTGATCCATTTCCTCAACATAAAAGAGCTGACCTTCTATAGTTGGTTTCCTCATTGTATCTTTTATATCAAACTTCATCTTCAGGTCCTTTCCCAAGTTTAACTCAATTGTTCCTTCACAGACATCTATCATTGCTCTTGCTGTAGCTAGGAATGGCCTTCCTAGAATCAATGGATCTGTTGGTTCCTCATCCATCTCAAGCACAATGAAGTCTGTGGGGATTTCCCATTCCCTAAGGCAGGTCTTCAAGCATCCCAGTTGGTAACCTTATCGATCTATCTGCCAAGACTAGTGAGATTCCGCAGGCTTGGTACTTGTGATATCCCAGTCTCTTTGCTACAGACAAAGGCATGAGGCTGACAGATGATCCTAGATCGCAGAGGCTGTTTTTGAAAGATAGGGGTCCTAACATGCAGGCAAAGTGAAACTCCCCGGATCTTCCTTTTTGTCGGAGATGACCTTCCGCTGAATGATTGCACTGCACTCGCGGGTCAACACTACCATCCCTTGTGCTTCCCTGGTTCTTTGCTGAACAGCATCCTTCAGAAATTTCTGATAAGGTGGAATGAGCATCAAGGCATCGATGAAGGGCAACTTCAGCTCAAGCTGTCTCATTAGTTCATCAAACTTGGCCTTGTGTGCTTCCAACAGTTGTTTCTTGAACCTTCCTGGAAAGGGCAGAGGGGGCTTGTATGGTGGTGGTCCTGCTGGAGTGTCTTTCTTCTTTGCAACAGGTTTAGCTGGTTGGCTGGAGTTTGCTTTGTCTGCTCTCTTCTGGCTCGATCGAGCTCTGGTTTGTCTTGCAGTGTCTCAGTTTCTCCAGCTCGATCGAGTTCTGGTTCAGGGTTTTGTTCCAGCTCGATCGAGTTCGGAGTCGAGTTATCAGCATAGTCGACTAAATCCTCCCCTTCCTCGTCATCGATGTCCACAGCGATTTGGGGTGGGCTACCTCTACTCGGGAATTGCTCCACTTCTTAGTGTAACTGCTTGGGCATACTCTTGTGGTGAAGAGGATGATGCACTTGAAGACTCAATGATTTGGACTCTTGAAGTCAATGACTCTAGTTTAGAGTGTATCTCAACCAGCTTGTTGTTCATTTCCAAGAACCTTTGGCTTGCCCTTGTAAAAGTTGTTGGAGCATTTCCTTCATATCCCAATCATGAGTTGGTTGGGTATGAGTAGTCCTTGTGTTGAAGCCTTGTGGAACTTTGTTGTAGGTGCGGCCAGGGGGCTTGATAATTGTTGTATCGCCCTTGTTGAGGATTCCTATAGCTTCCTTGTCTATTTTGAATGTAGCAAACTTCTTGTGTTGTTCCTCCCCTTCCTGGTCCTTGACTAGGGTTTGTTCTGAGACATAGTTGACATGCTTGGCAGGGAATTGGCTAGGATCAGTTTGTCCAACTTCGAGTTGAGTGCAAGCATGTCTTTCTCATCTGAGCCTCCAGCTCGATCGAGTGCGCGGTCGAGCTCCAATCTGTACTTTCATATGCTCTCCATAGCATTCTGTTGATATGGCCATGTTCTCCACAAGTTGCCAGCCATCATCTACATCCTGGTTGAGGAAGTTCCCATTGCTAGCTGTGTCTAGCATCTCCCTATACCTAGGCAAGCATCCTCTATAAAGAGTGGAGAGTAGTGATTCATTGTTGAATCCATGGTGTGGGCACTGACTTGTGTAGCCTTTGAACCTCTCCCAAGCCTCTGCGAATGTCTCATTGTTTCGCTGGATGAAGCTGGATATCTCTCCTCTAAGCTTGGCTGTGCGACCGGTGGAGAAAAACTTTAGCAAGAAAGGCCTTCTTGCATTCATCCCAAGTGGTGATTGTGCCATGGGGCAAGCTCTTCTCCCATTGGTGAGCTTTGTCAGCTAGAGACATAGGAAAGAGTCTCAGCTTGATGGCATCTTCAGAGACACCATTGATCTTTGTCAAATCACAAAGCCTATCAAACTCATCAAGGTGGTCAATGGGGTCTTCACTTGGCAATCCATGGAACATCTTGTTCTGGACAAGGTTGATCATTCCCAGCTTGATCTCAAAGTTGTGGTTCTGCACTGGTGGTGGAACAATCCCTTGTCTCTGTTGGTGGCGGTTTGGAGCATCTCCTTGACCAATCGGTCGAGTTTGCCTAGCTCGACCGAGTCCATTGCCCAAAGGGTTTCCATTCCCTCTGGTACATCCATTGTATCAGCAACAAGCACCTCAGGTTCCTCTTGTACCCTCTGTGACCTCTGAACCCTCTTTCTACCCGTTGTAATGTCTAGCTCGACCAAGTCTTCAGTTGACCGACTCGATCGAGTTCGCATACACCTGCAAAAAGAGACAAAAACCCAGCAGTACAATAGAACAGGGGTGGTATAGCTTGATCGTCCAAGTGTGTTTGAAACTCAAATGCAACAAAAATATTCCCAAATCGGCAACGGCGCCAAATTGATGATAGGATTTTATTGTGTGATATGAAAGGAAGTCAAGCAAGCAATTTCGTCTTGAGAGGGCTAGAGTTGAGAAACCACGATCTGATAGGCCAAGAGCTGAGAGACTTGTTCAAGCCCCTTGTGTGCTTGATGAAGAGAGCCTTCAAGCTTTGTTTGATGAGCCACTAGGAAGGGCTCTAAAGAAGGGGAGGATGCAGCCTCTAAGGCAAGACCAGGAGATAAAAGAAAGGATCCACCAGCTCAGGCCCCTTCAGTCAAGCCATCTCAGCTCACAATGACCTTGTTCCCCACCAAGTTTGAAAATGGGAAGATTGAGTACAAGATAAGGTACAAGGGGAGATCAAGGCCATTCTCTAGAGCCAAGGCCTTGGTGACTTCAGAACAGTCCAGGGACCCAACCAAGCTAAAGGAGCTTCTGTCTCAAGTCCTCACTATCACCCTTGATGGTGGGACTAGCTCAACCAATGCCTAAGAAGGTAAAGGTCAAGCTATGGGACCTTAAACAAGCTCACTTGGGAGGAAGTCCCATGTTTATCCTTGTACATACTCTATTTATGCAATTTCTATCTATCTTTATGTTTTTAACCTTTGAATAAGTTAAGTTTAGGTGTCAAAGGAGCCAGCTCGACCGATAGCTCGATCGAGCTAGAAACCAGGGCAACTCGATCGAGCTACACAACTCGACCGAGGTAAGTTTTTGAATTTCAAATTCATAACCGTTTTCTTGGTCAAGGGAGTGGGTCCCACAAGCTGATTTTGGTCCCCCACTACCCTAATTGATCAGAGAATCCCTAGTTTTTGTTCCCTCTTTATTTCATCTTTTAATCTCAACCACACATCTCAAACAACTCTCTTCCCCATAACTCGATCGAACCCACTTCTCTCTCCCACAATCTTAAATTTCTGAAATCATCTCTCTCTCTCTTCACCACAAGAAAATCGATTTTCTCTTTTTCTCTAAGTTTTTGCGATTTCTCTTCTTGTTTTGCTTGTTTTGTTTACTGTCTTCAATTCCATCATTCAACAAGGTATGAACCCTAAAACCCTTCATTCATCCATCTCGATTTCATATTGCTTGTTTCCTTTGATTTTTGATTGCATGTGTCCCTTGTGGACTTGTTCTTGAGTAATTGCTTTCATATTTCTCTCTGTATAATCTTGTAATTTGTTTCACCTCACCTCTGTTTTGCCTTAAACTTGTTGCATGTGCTTGAAATTGAATTTGAGTTTGGTATTGGTTAATGCTAGTTCACTAGAATTGCTCATTTGTTCCATTTACTAGTTGTTCTTGGTTCAATTTGATTGATTAGCATCTTTTCCAGCTCTTAATCTTGAATTAGGTTTGGTTATACTCTGTTTTCACCCAACTCGATCGAGTTTGTCACTCGAGTTTTTTGACTCGATCGAGCTGAGTGTCGAGTTGACCAAACCGATCATTACAACTCTAATTCTTTGTAATTTTGATGCATTTCAGGTACCCAGTGAAGAAAACAAGTTCAAGATGTTGAGAGTGAAGGAAGCAAGCAGCTTCAGAAAGAGGGAGAGAAGCAAGAAGAAGAGAGAAAGGAGCAAGATGCAAGGATTTGGAAAGGAGATCAAGGAAGGAGAACCAGCAGAGGAGATTCTCTGAGGAGCAGTCTGAGAGGAGAATTGAGGGAAGAGAAGGAGAACCAAGAAGAAGGAATGACCCATAGTAGTGAGAGTGAGCAAGGAGAGTTTGAGATTGGAGTGAACCTTGTTCAAGAGGAGAAATGGTCTCCAAGTGAGAAGGAGTGAGGAAGACTGAGAGTCAAGAGAGAAGGAGAAGAGGTGAGCATGAGAGCAAGAGAATGATGCCCATGGAAGAGGAGGAGTCAGAGGAAGAAGAGGATGAGCTCCCCATGTACCAAGAGCACTACAATGCTCTCTTCTCCATGGACTTTGTGGAGACCAAGTACCCACATGATGACACATGAGAGGCCTTGGATCTTTGAGGATGTGGAGTTGGTCTCAAGAACATGCATTGGCCAAGTTCTTCTCTTACCGCATGGAGTCTACAAGGAGCTCACTTGTGAGTTTTTGGCGTCAATGAGGTCCACAGTATGAGCTCGATCGAGCTGAGTTGGACCAAGGATTGGGATGGATCACGTTCTTGGCAAGGGGAGAGAAGAAGGTATGGTGACCTTTAGGCAGCTTGGAGATCTTTTGGGTTCACTATGGAGAAGGTAACCAAGTGGAACTCAAGGAAGAAGAACTCCAAAGGGTTTGGGCTACAATCGCTGATGGAGGTACTCTTCCTCAAGGTCCAAGGCAGCTCAGATCAGGAGCCCAGTGCTTGAGATATGTCACAAGGCTCTTGCCAACACCTTCTTTGCAAGGAAAGCCACTGGGACAATCAATGAGGGAGAAGTGAAGCTCCTTGACATGGGAATCAAGCCCATCATCTCACGCACAAGGATGGGAGAAGATCAAGGGGAGATAGATCTGCAGGGAACTCATGCCTCTCCTTGACCAGCTCTCTCCTACAAGACAGCTTACAACACTAGGCAAAAGGGAAGGAAGCTTAGTGTTGGAGGAGTCATCACACCTATCTTGTGCAGCTGGAGTCCAAGTGGACAAGAGAAGGTCTACTCCAGCAGGTTGGATGGACATCAAGTTTTGCAAGACCAACCTCTTCATTGAGCACAAGGAGTTGGATGGGAGATTCCAATTCAAGTTCACCATCCATTGGCTGGACCCTCCAAGCTTCTTCTGCCCAACCCTGAGCTCACCACGGTCCTAGGAGGTACAACATTGACTTCAGACCCCCTGTGTACACTTAGTTGGGCATGAAGGAGATTTGCGAGAAGAGGAGCCTCTCGATCGAGCTGAGGATCGAGCTGAGGACAACGCTGAAGATGCAGGATTTGGGTGAGCCTGAGTGCTATTACTTTGAGGAGTATGAGGCTCCAAGGATGAACCCCTCTGTTGTGGCTGCCCACAAGAGGATTGGACTTCTCCAAAAGTTCAACAAGTGGCAAGGGAAAGCCATTGGAAAGATGCAAAAGTCCATGGACAAGATGGTGAGCAAGATCAAAAACTTGGAGAAGAAAGTTTCTGGTTCTTCAAGCAAGAAGAAGAAGTCCAAGGCCCCCACTTTCCCTAGGAGTAGGTCACTCCTCACCACTCCAAGGAGGCTCCCTGCCCAAGAGCCTCACAGAGCCTCTTCTTTCGAGCCAAGGGAAGGAGAAGACAACACGCAGAGAAGGAGGAAGACTCCAAGGCCAGACGCTCCAGCTCGACCACCGGACTCGATCGAGTCCAAACAGAGGAAACTCAACTCGATCGAGCTGAGGGTCGAGTTGACCTGGAGGAGCCCCTGTTTGAGAACCGGGATTCGAGTACGATCAACGCAGTACCAGGACTCTCTCAGACTGGACCCCTACAACGCTTCGAGCAAGCCAGCTCCACCAAGGCCAAGGAAGCCACACACATTTCAACGATGAAGAAGAGGAGGAAGAGGAGCCACAAGCTCGATCGAGTGAGCCGAACCCAGTTGCAGTGGAGCGTCCTGATGGCCGTCTACCCATCTCCAGACCACGACCTAGCCTCCCAGTTCTTTGGGGGACACTGAGGTATCCAAACACCAACCCTTGTATATACCATTTCATATTTTCTTGCATTTGTTCTTGTTTTTTCTTGGTTTTGCCCTCTTGAATCTTTCACTAAATTTTTCTCACACAAGGGACTGTGTGATTTAAGTTTGGGGGAGGGTTCAAGAGATGATTTAACCTTGTTTTCTTTGTTCTTAGTTTTTCATTTATCTTTTGCATAGAAAAAAAAAAAAATCATAAAATTTTCAAAAAATCCAAAAATATTTTCATCTTTTTGCATTCATATTTGTTAGACTTGTTTAGGATTGCATTTTTCACTTGCATTGTTGATTTGACTTTGAAAACTTGTCCATCTTTTGCGATTTCTTGAGTGCCCTGTTTTTAGATTCTTTTGTGCATTAGGGTGAGATTGATTGAGCAGCAAGAACCATGTTTATCTTGATCATATCACTGCATGCACATCTCATTCAACCATTGCTGTGATTTGATGCATTTCCCTATCTATTTGAACCATAACTTGATCTTTAATTACCAATGCTTGCATTTGATTTCAACTCATGGCTACCACATACATATCTGGACATTCTTTACCTATTTTCATATCCCTTTTGCTTGTCCAGATAGCTGATCTCTATCTTTGAGACAGTTACCACACCTTAAACCTAAGCCTTTTTCATTTCAAACCCCATTTTATCTCTTGTGCGAATGTGAGAACCTTTCTTGGCTTTGCTTAGCATAAGGTGTTGTGTTTAAACCGGCAGGGGCAGTAGTTCTAGTTGTCTAGTTCTCTTGGGATTGTTTTCAGGCTAAGTTTGGGGGTGCCAACTCGAGCTCGATCGAGTTGGGTGTAAAAACCAGAAAAGTGGTAAAAGTTGGGAAAAACCCAAAGGAAAAAGAGTTTGGTTAAGTCCAGGGAGTTGGCAGTGTTTAAAAGGGTCTAGTAAAGGTTTGGGAAGTTAAAAAAGGAAAGTAAAAGGGTTCTAAGTAGAATGAAAAGAAGGCAAAGCCTCAAGTGTCCAAAAAGGAAGAAAAGTTCCCTAAGTGTTTAGAAAATCCCAAACCGCTAGATGTTACCTCAAGAAGCCTCTCCCAAACCGCTAAACCCTTGACTTTCCTTTGACCCTAAACCTAATCCTCTTTGTATTTAAAGGCTCTTAGCCACGAAAAAACCAAAGCTTTAGATTACTTTTGTTTTAGCTTCTTTAATTTATTGTCTTTACTTTTTAGAGATCTAATCCCATCTTTGTGTTCTTGAAGCTCTTGCTTCTTGAATCTTAGATCCTGGATAATCTCTTTGTATTTGCACTTGCTTATTTCAATAAAAGTTGTTTAATTTCATCTCCTCTTTCTTATGATGTCTCTTTTATTGCATTTGCTTGTGTTTACATTCATGTGTAGTGAGTAGTTACCCATTGGGGTTTGAGATGGGATAGATTAGAGGTTTCATATGCTTAATCCTTCTAGCTTATGGTCTTAATCTAGATTCTCTCTCTTTTGGATAGATCTTAAGGCTACATGACCACTACCCCTGGCTTGTAAGTCCTTAGGCGACTCCCCACACGAAAGTGATGGCATTCGCTGGAAAAGATCCACTAAGAGCTCCAATATCTCTTGCTCTAGACAATAGAGGTCTAAGGGGTTGGATGGATTAGTTTGGGCAATGATCCTATAGCCTCCAAGGTTTGATTCTCACTGGCTAACCCCCTGTTTCTGAGATCATTCCTTGGTTGATAGCCTCCACCTTGGGAAAGGGTTGGCTAGGCATTGAGAAGCCCAATATCAAGAGAAGCCTTGATACAAGGAGTTTTAAGAGCTAGATTGATTAAGTGTAGATTCCTTTGATTGCAAAACCCTGTCTTGAACCCTAATTCTCTCTTTATCTTGTTAAAGTCGTCACCTTTAGCTTTGTTTGTCTCAACTCGTCCCTAAACTCGATCGAGCTGGTACTTTGCTCTAGCTCGACTCGAGCTCTTGGTCGAGCTGACACTTCACTGCTTTGTTTACTTTTATTGCACTGCTTTTCATTTTTTTAGGTTGTTAGTGTTACTTCAAATCTTAACTGCTTGCTTGACTTCTGGTTGTTTCATATTCTCAAAGAGTGACAAGTTTCCCATTTTGGATTGATAACCTCTTATACTTCAATGACTATGATGGTTAAGAGGAATTGATTGATTGTGATTGCACCATACCATTCATCTTTATTCACCCCTGTTTGCATTCCACCTCATCTCTTAATATCCTTCGTTCATATCATATTATCACATCCACCTAAAATCCTATCATCAACTTGCTTATTTCAATAAAAGTTCTTTAGTTTCTTTCCCTCTTTCGTTTAATATCTTCTTCATTGCATTCGATTGTGTTTTCATTCATGTGTAGTGAGTAGTTACCTTTAGGGTCCAAGATGGGCTAGATTAGGGGATTCTTATGCTTAATCTCTTTTGCTTATGATCTTAATCTAGAAATCTCTCTCTTTTGGACAAACCTTAAGGCTACATGACCACTATCCCTGGCTTGTATGTTCATAGGCGATTTTCCACATGGAAGTGTTGGGAAATCGCTTGAAAATGTCCACTAAGAGCTCCAATAAACCTTGCTCTCGAAATAGAGTTCATAGGTGTTGGATGGATTAGTTTGAGCAATGATCCTACTGCCTCCAAGGCTTGACTCTTACTGGCTAACCCCCTGTTTCTGAGATCATGTCTTGGATGATAGCTTTCACCTTGGGAAAGGGCTAGCTAGGCATTGAGAAGCTCAATATCAAGAGATACTTGATACAAGTTGTTTGAGAGCAAGATTGATTAAGTATAGTCTTCCCTGATTGTAAGACCCTATCTTAGACCATAATATTCGCATTAGCTTGTTAAAGTTCCTGCCTTTATCGCTTTTTACGCTAACTCGACCCTCAACTCGACCGATCGAGTCCTTGATCGAGCTGTTTGCTTTACTGCTTTCCTTTACTTTTTGTTTTGCATTTCTGTTTCATTAGGTTGTTGAGAATTGACTATCATCTATTTACTGTCTGCTTGACTTCCTTGTGATTGCATATCCTCATAGAGTAACATTTCACCCTTATGGATTGATACCCCTTATACTTCAATGACTATGATGGTTAAGGAGAATTGATTGATTGTGATTGTGTTTGCACCATACCATCCCATCTTCATTTACCACTGTTGCATTCCACCTCATTTACATTTCATATCTTATCATCACATCACACACACAAATCCTATCATCAGTATGTCCCTAGATGATTAAATCAAACATTAAAGCGAATGAGTCTCAATTGTTCACAACCTACAAGTAGATCAACTGTTGCAGTCTAAAAGTGATTGCCCACCAAATATTAGTTCAGGCGAATGATTCAACACTTCCGTGGCTCAAGTTTACCCATGATCATATGCTAATTGGCCAGATTAACAACAAGCTTTGCACACAAGTAAAGGTGAAGAGTTTATGTAAAACCCTAATTCATCATAATCGATTATCAAGCAAACATGAATATTATCCTTTGATTTCCTATCACTTAACAAGTAAACTACTCAGACATAAAGAAGGAGATCGAATTCATATTCATAAGAACAGAGATCCGAAATCCTCTCTAGTAAGAGAACAACCAAAAGCAAAGTACAAGCAAGAACTTTATTAAAGATGTAAAAGTAAATCGAGGTCTCTCCCTCCTTTGAGTTACAAGGCTAAAAGATGTATTTATAATGCTCTAAGTATAGAAGAGCAGCTAGACCTAGGTTTATAAAGTCGGCATGGTAATTGGGCTTTAAATCGTGTTAAACGGGCTTCAAAATCGGCTTTGTGTCCACCGGACTGGTCGGGACGTTGATATACCTCTATTTTACATGCTTTTTATACTGTTTTAGCATTGTTTTCTAATGGTTTTTGGCATTTTACTATGTTTAGTGTCTAGAGTCTAAACAGGTGAAATGATGCATTTTGGAGCAAAACCATAGGATTTGCACTTCAAGCCGCTCCATGCACAAGCATCAACTTTAAGAGGGCCCAGAAAAGATCTACTCAATGGATTTCATCAAGACCAGTTCCCTGCGTTCTCGGATTGAGTTAACTTTCCAACGCAACTGGAACGGCCTAATTTGGATGAGTAGAAACAGAGTTATAACCAAAAGAGTGAAGACTGTCCAGACAGCTCTATCGAGAATCAGCGCCCAACCGCGCAGTCCGGCTGGCCGAGGAACGAACGTTCCACGCTCGGCCAAAGTCATATCCGTCCGTCTGAAGTCTCGGCCAAAGTTCGAAACCGAACGACCGATCACATATCACGACCCAGGAAACATGAGCCCGCGGTCAGCCAAGCTACAACCGTTTCACGCCACGCCGCGCACGACCATGCCGCGCGAGCCGGGGAACAAAGCCTCGCGGCCGCGCAACCCACTTCGCGTACCACAGCCGATGCATCCGTCCGAGCCGGGAAAGAACGTACCACGTCCGGCCGAGAAACCATCGACCAGTCCATCACCCGTCCGACCACGCCGGCCGACCGAAGAATTATCCGGCCACGACCGTTCCGATCGCTACCATGATCCGACTGTCCGGCCGATCGTCCCGGCCGACCGACCAAACGCCGCGATCAACCCAAAGCCCGTTTTGAAGTCCGATTTCATATTTTCAAGGCCTGGCTTAACCCTAAGCCGCCTCAAAAGACCTAGCACTCTATATATAGTTTTTTAGCCTCTTGTGAGAGAGAGAGCCGCCTTTGTATCACGCATTCATACTTGAGTTTTATTGCAATCATGTTTTCTTCATCTCTTTGTGTTGTTGCTTTGATTATGTCTGAGTAATTCACTAGTTAGGTTGTGAGATCTATCAAAGAGTTCATGGTTTGATAGGTTGTTAGAATTTGCCTAGGGTTTTATTATATCGCATCTTCGCCTCTGCTTGAATTCATTGCTGCTTGCTTTTCTGATCAACTAGCATCAGATCTTAGGTTTCATATACTCTCCAAAAGTAAAGGTTTGGGAAGTTAAAAAAGGAAAGTAAAAAGGGTTCTAAGTAGAATGAAAAGAAGGCAAAGCCTCAAGTGTCCAAAAAGGAAAGAAAAGTTCCCTAAGTGTTTAGAAAATCCCAAACCGCTAGATGTTACCTCAAGAAGCCTCTCCCTAGGAAGTTCTTAAAAGAAAAGTGAGCAAAGCTCCTCAGTTTCAAAGGCGAAATGCCAAAAAGGGTAGTTAGGATTTTGTTCTAAAAAGCTCTAAGTGTTGAACTCGATCGAGTTAGGATTAGGCGGCTCGAGCTGCTGTTCTTGCATCATCTTTGGTTCTAACACTTAGCCTTCTGCCAAAGCAAAGCCACTTTCTTGAGAGATCCCTGTTACTAAACCACCATACAAAAGAGACCCTCTTTGTCTCTTAACCCATAAACCCTTGAAACCAAATGAGTTGATTGATCTTGCATGTTTTTGGTTCACTGTTTTTGCTTAATGAATGTTAAAGGGATTTGCTGATTTGAATGCATTGTTTGAGTGACTGTGAAGTGGGATTGATGTTGATAAGCATGGTTAAATCTTAATGAATATCTCTCACCTTGTTGCATTCTAGAATCTCTAAGTTGGACATTTAGCAAATCGCTTTTGAGGACATGTTTTTAAGTGTTGAATCAGCTATTTTCAAACCTCATCTCTTTCTTGTTCTATTTGTTTGCTTGAGGGCAAGCAAAGTTCAAGTTTGGGGGTGTTGATGTACTTGCATTTTACATAGTTTTAGCACATCTTTTATGCATCTTTTGCATAGTTTTAGCTTCCATTTGCATCATATCTTGTTCCTTTTCTCTTCTTATGCATTCATGTTAGTTTTAGGTTGCATTTGCATACATATGCATGTTTGGTCCTTTGAAATAGGTCTTTTGGAGCATTCTGGAGCATATGGGACATGAAGGAGCATGGAGGGACTTGGCACATGGAAGCAGCTCAACTGGATACGCAAAGGAAGAAGGGAGAAGCCATCTTGAAGACCAGCTCGACCGTCTACTCGACCAACCGGTCGAGTTCCTCAACTCGACCGGCCAAGCTTCAACTCGATCGAGCTGAGAAGTCAACAGTCAAACCCGAAAAATGTTGCTTCCCCCTTGACTTTCCTTTGACCCTAAACCTAATCCTCTTTGTATTTAAAGGCTCTAAGCCACGAAAAAACCACCAAGCTTTAGATTACTTTTGTTTTAGTTTCTTTTAATTTATTGTCTTTTACTTTTTAGAGATCTAATCCCATCTTTGTGTTCTTGAAGCTCTTGCTTCTTGAATCTTAGATCCTGGATTATTTGCTTATTTCAATAAAAGTTGTTTAATTTCATCTCCTCTTTCTTATGATGTCTCTTTTATTGCATTTGCTTGTGTTTACATTCATGTGTAGTGAGTAGTTACCCATTGGGGTTTGAGATGGGATAGATTAGAGGTTTCATATGCTTAATCCTTCTAGCTTATGGTCTTAATCTAGATTCTCTCTCTTTTGGATAGATCTTAAGGCTACATGACCACTACCCCTGGCTTGTAAGTCCTTAGGCGACTCCCCACACGAAAGTGATGGCATTCGCTGGAAAAGATCCACTAAGAGCTCCAATATCTCTTGCTCTAGACAATAGAGGTCTAAGGGGTTGGATGGATTAGTTTGGGCAATGATCCTATAGCCTCCAAGGTTTGATTCTCACTGGCTAACCCCCTGTTTCTGAGATCATTCCTTGGTTGATAGCCTCCACCTTGGGAAAGGGTTGGCTAGGCATTGAGAAGCCCAATATCAAGAGAAGCCTTGATACAAGGAGTTTTAAGAGCTAGATTGATTAAGTGTAGATTCCTTTGATTGCAAAACCCTGTCTTGAACCCTAATTCTCTCTTTATCTTGTTAAAGTCGTCACCTTTAGCTTTGTTTGTCTCAACTCGTCCCTAAACTCGATCGAGCTGGTACTTTGTCTGACTCGACTCGAGCTCTTGGTCGAGCTGACACTTCACTGCTTTGTTTACTTTTATTGCACTGCTTTTCATTTTTTTAGGTTGTTAGTGTTACTTCAAATCTATAACTGCTTGCTTGACTTCTGGTTGTTTCATATTCTCATAGAGTGACAAGTTTCCCATTTTGGATTGATAACCTCTTATACTTCAATGACTATGATGGTTAAGAGGAATTGATTGATTGTGATTGCACCATCATCTTTATTCACCCCTGTTTGCATTCCACCTCATTCTATCATCCTTCATTCATATCATTCACATCCACACAAAATCCTATCATCAAGCTTCCATAGTTTGAGTGACTTGAGTCTCTAGTTTCTTCACATGAGTGGCAACAGCATCATACTTGGTGTTGAGATTGCTGAACAAAGTGTCCATCTTCTCATACATCTCTTTATTGTTTCTCTTCTGGCCATCCATGATCTGTTGGAGGATTCCTTCAAATCTCCCACCTTGTTGGTTTGGAGGAGCTTGATTTGGTGAAGAAGCATATGGCTCCTTGGGCGGATATGATGATCTCTGCTCATACCCTTGCCTTGGCTGAAATTGACTTCCTTGAGATTGGTAAGGAGGTCTTTGTTGTTGTGGATACCTTGGAGGATACACTTGGTCTTGAGGATTCTCCACATTGGGGTTTCTATAAGACATGTTGGGGTTTGGGCGATAGCTTGGATTGTATCCCTTGTTCCCATAGTTTCCAATGTAGTTCACATCTTCTTCATTGGCTTCATTAGAGAAATCTCCCATGCATTCTCTTGATGGGTCTTCATTAGCATCACTCATCCCTTCTATTGCATTGATATGCTTGAGCTGTCCCTTAAGAACTTGAGCCATCATGTTCTTGAGTTCAGTCATTTGAAAAGAATCAGGGGAGCTAGTAGTGGTGCGGCTTGAGCGGTCATAATCAGGACAGTTGTTACAATCACTAGCTGCAAGATTCTCAATAAGAACCTTAGCTTCATCAACAGTCTTGGTCATGAAGTTTCCATTGCTTGCAGTGTCCAATGAAAGCTTGTACTTGTGGTCTATGCCACGATAGAAGATGTTCCATAGGTTTCCCTCATTGAAACCATGATTAGGGCAGTCCCTAATGTACTCCTTGAATCGATCTAGCGCCTCATAGAAAGATTCATTGTTGGCTTGGCGAAAGTTGGAGATCTTGTTCCTTACAGAAACTGATCTTTGCTTGGTGTAGAAGTGGTTGATGAAAGCGCCTTGTACTCATCCCAAGTGGTAATGGAGTGAGCTGGCAGAGACTTCAACCATCTTGAAGCTTTGTCGCCAAGAGAGAATGAAAAGAGCTTGCACTTCAAGGTAGTCAGCAGAGACTCCATTGGATCTTGTAGTGCTGCAAATTTCTTCAAAGTTTTCTATGTGATCAAGAGGGTGCTCAGCTGGAAGGCCATTGAATTGGTTCTGTCTAACCAATGCTATGATCTGAGGCTTGATCTCATAGTCATTCCTTGCAGGAAGTGGTGGATGGATAGGGTTTCTATCCGTGAAGAAAGCATCGGCAGAGTCATAATCTCCGATTGTTTGGTGCTCCGCTTGAGGTTGTGCACATTCACATCTCCAGCAGGGTCTTGTGGATTAGGAGGAGGAGGAGGTGGATCTCGTCCTTCTTCTTGAGCGCGCGCCACTTCAGCGGCGTGAGCGCGAGCTGCTTCGTCGGCCATCTCTTGGGCTTTTGCTTCCTAAGTTGCTTCTCAAGCTTGTCTATCTCTGGATGTTCAACTAGGTTGTCCTTGTTGGACCTCCTAGTCATGCACCTGAAAAGAGTCTTGGAAACAAGTTAAATCAAAAGGGAAAAACAAAAACAAAAGCAAAAATCAAAGAAAAGGAAATCAAAAACTAAAAATTCAAAAGCAAAAGAAAAGCAAAACAGGAAAAGGTTCTAGACTAGATCCTAGTCGAGTTCCAAAGGTACTGCTGCAGTCCCCGGCAACGGCGCCAAAAACTTGATGCGGAGTCAGGTTTTACCAAACTCCTAGACCTCTGCAAGTGCACAGATCGCGGAAGTATGGGTATCGAACACAAGGACTGGCTATTGAGTACACTTTGTAACTATGGATTTTGGATCAAGCTAAAACAAAAGTATGGTTTGAGGTTGTAATGGTGAACCGAACTAGCAAGTATAACGAGGTTGTAAATCAATAAAGGAAAAGCGCTAGGTCATAGGGGCTATCGCAGAGAAGCAAGCAATGATCAATGAAACAATGATAGATGAATTGATTAGGGATATTGGGATATTAAGAACCATCTAGAACACAGATCACGAATATAAAACCATTCCACTTTCGAGGCTCCGGCTCCTTTGTTAATCTACCTAGTCGCTAAACTTTTGGTATGTCCCTAGGTGATTAAATCAAGCATTAGAATGAATAGGTTCTGATACAGTTCACTAGATATAGATAGATCAACTTTCGCAGTCTAAGAAACCTAGCTTGTCAAAGAATATGTCCGGCGAATGATACAGCACTGTCGAGGCTCAAATCAACCTAAGATCGGATTACTAGATGCGCGGTAAAGCAATCAGCATTAGTTAAGTGCACAAGACGAGACAAAGACTCTAATATAATCCCTAGCTAATCATTGAAATCAAAGATCATGCAAGCAACTCATTGAATAGTAACCCTAGCAACCTAACTAGTGGATTACTCAGACATGATCAAAGCAAACACACATAGAGATGAAGAAAACATGATTGCAATAAAACTTAGAGTAGGAAATCGAAATACAAGGCGGCTCTCTTTTCACAAGAGGCTAAAAAGCTATATATATAGTGCTAGGTCTTTTGAGGCGGCTTAGGGTTAAGCCGGGCTTGAAAATATAAATTTGGGCTTCAAAACGGGCTTCGGGTCGACCGCGGCGTTGGGACGGTCGGTCGGGACGATCGGCCGGACAATCGGGTCGTGGCGAGTCGGAACGGTCGGGCCGGACGGATTCGGGTCGGCCGGCGTGGTCGGCGGATGAGATTTGGCCGATGATTTCTCGGCCGGACGTGGGACGTTCTTCCCGGCTCGGACGGATGCATCGGCCGTGGTACGCGAGAAGGGTTGCGCGGCCGCGAGGCTTGTTCCCGGCTCGCGCGGCATGGTCGTGCGCGGCGTGGCGTGGCGTTGGCTTGGCCGACCGCGGGACAATGTTTCCCGGGTCGTGATGTGTGATCGGCCGAGTGGTTTGGACTTTGGCCGAGACTTCAGACGGACGGAATGACTTTTGGCCGAGCGCGAACATTCGTTCCTCGGCCAGCCGGTCTGCGCGGTTGGGCGCTGATTCTCGATATAGC